TTGTTGCCAACGGTGTTGCCACATCCTGTGGTGGTGTCTGTTGCTGTTGCTGTTGCTGCAGCTGTTGCTGTTGGCGCTGCTGCTGCTGCTTCTTCCTCCTCTTGCTTCTGCTGGTACCCATGATGACTGCTGTGGTTGTGCTGTTGAAGAACTACCACGAAGGAATCCAAGTGAGGACTTGAGGACTTGCGCTTGATGGTAGGTAGTCAATTGGAGGCTCCTTGACACACTGGTAACCTCGAAGACCTGGTTAATAGTGTGGAAGGTGGTCTCGTGTTGCTCCGAGTTACTCCTGATCGACAAGTATCTTCAGTACGGATCGATCCAAGTCCAGGGAAAGACCGTGAAATCAGCGAAATTGTGAGGAGCCTATCGCGTGAAGCGTCGGCTTGCTTTCGGAACAGGGGTACGGTACCGGTTTGCTTACTGTCTTGTGAGTACCGTGTGAGTACCGGTTCCCCGCAGTATCCTCCGGACACACGACTGAGATAATCCGTAGGAAAATCGAAGGACGATCGACAATGATGATAGCCGTCTATTCCGCTATCGGCCGGTCGAACTGGGCCGATTAACAAGAAACTGGCTGGACTATCCTCTCAAGCACCCTCAGGTTGGTAGGTGGGATGCTTGGTTTCACTCCTATCGCTTCGATATTGGTCGAGTTAAGGCGATCGGCAGATTTCTGTCGCGATTTCTTGTTGAGGGATCAGTCGATGGCTTCGGCTCGTCGTTCACTTGTTCCGGGCCTATTAACCAAGGCACAGGCTGGTCTATCTTGTAGAGCGCCCTTGACTTGGTAGGTGTGCACGGTGCTTCCACTCGAATCGGTCGGGATTCCAGTTTTCGGTCGTCGTCGCGATCTTCTTGCTGATCGGCAATCCTCAACTCCTCCTCTTCTTCCACGACGATTTCCACACTCCTGTAGAGCCACTCTTGTGCGTGCAATCTGCGACAATGTTAATCCGATGAGATCCAGTCAGGGTAGATGCACAAAGAGCTGGCTGGAGTGGAGAGCTCTGCTTGGAGCCTCACTCCTCTGACAGTGGGAATGGGCCAGCCAC